TATGCAGCATTATGAATTAGTTCATCCAAAAATGCACAACTTAAGGCGATCATGAAACGACTGATTAAACGCCCCGTTTTTAGATTTTTAAATGAAGTATTGTATGAAAATAATTATTAGTCGTCCGGAATGCGTCCAGGGTCTAGTTCTGTTGCTCTCTCGGTCCTGATTAGGGTTGCACTAGTGGAGGTGTATCATATAAATTGATAATCAATAAACATTTCGTTACACATAAGAATTGGGTGGATCTAGTTTTATCATACGAAGCGGCTACAGTGTGTCCGTGGGTGCTTGAAACCAGTGCGCGCATTAAACAACATCTGTGGTGAGTATCGATGTTCCCGCAACTTCCGTCACGCGAAATAAACAGAGTTTACCACTGGCCAGAATGTACCAATTAATCATCAATAATGATGACATCATCCAATTCAAATCGCGTACATTGCAACCAAAATGTTCACCATTTCGCATCAAGTGTTTCGTCCCAGATGAAGCACTCGCGATCGATACCGTTTTGCTGTTTGATTACTGCGTTCCTTTCTGACAACTAAAACTCAATCAGCTTACCCGTCCGCATCATGGTTTATAAAAACTGCGAAAGATTTCCATCATTGGACTATATTATCTTCTGACTTTATTGATACTTCTGGGGAAATGATCAATTGATCAGACCACTGGAATAGGTCGTGTCAGTTATGTACGGTGTGAACGAAGTGAAGAATTATGTCACACGAAGCGTGGTCGGGAACGATGTGTGGTGTAATTCGCATCAAACAAAGGAACATTACAACTCATTACACGTGATTCTACCGACATTTTGATTGTTCGCATTATAAACGTTGATTGCATTTAGTGCTGAAAAGCGAAATTATCAAGTATTTTGTCATTATTTATCATTGCTTTGATAGATTCAAGCAATTTGGTTGGCATATTTTCCAGTCCGTCATGCTGTGAAGAAAATCAAAATGCATGTTAAGCGATAAGTTCCAATCAGCAACAAAGTTCAATGGAACAGCAGCGCTTTTGCTTCAGAAATTCCCTAACTGAATAAAACTTTCTCCTTATAATCTATAAGCAGGGGACAAACAAATAAGCAGACAGGAACTGCGTCGCTTTAATGTTGTCCGGGATCATATATAAATGTGTGGTCTGGTTTAGCTATACGCACACACAAAAGATCTTCAGGTGGATTTGAATTTGACTCGCACCTATTCACCGTTGCTGTGGTCGAATAACTAGATCCATTTAAACTTCAGTTTAAGTTAAAATCCTCATACACAGCAGTCTGTCAATCACTTGAAGTTTTTTGTTACTTCCTTGTCGTTCATGTACGACGAACTTGTTTTATTGATGCTTCATATTCTATCTATCTCTATTAATCGTCTGTTTACAGAAAACCGAGGCCTCAGATTGCTCATACACCATTGGACCGGTAAAACAGCCTATCCCTCCTGATGTAAAGAAACCACGATTCGAATATGTGAAAACATTCAAAGAAGACATGGAATCTGGGGTGCACAGTCCGATCAAAGCGGAACCGGAAGTATTCGACGACGTGGAACAGTATGAGAATGTGGATTTGACCAAATCCGAGGACATGACTGAAGATTTGGCAATGCAAGTGAGTTAACCCCTTTTGGGGGGAATCTCTCCTTGACGCATTGAAATTCCCATGGGTAGAATGCTACCGTAACGCGAGATTCCCTCAAGTGCTCGGATGCGCTATTTTGAGACAAATTATCTGCAACCAAAGGAGACAAGCGCATTTCACAATGTTGTATCGAATCTGCGTGTGAATGCAGACCAACCCATAGTCACAGTTTCGGCTCGGAATTCGGAAGATGAAGTTGTGCGTCGTGATCAGAGTATTTGATCTATGCAGAAACACGAACAGATCAACTTGTGGTGACGATATTTCGACTTCTCGTGTCAATTAACAAACCAACGTTAAACAAAATTTTGTCACACACTACAGCTTGCTTAACCTTCCCTTTTTAAATAACTTTAAAAACGGTTTTCAAAGAGGATCGAAACGTTGTCACCAAAAATTGGTTTTACTGTTTTGTCTACACGTTTCTCCTATCAAGCTTTAGCCAAAACCCATAATCGCTAAACCTTTACCCACAATTCTTTAAACAAAACCCGAAATGGCTTCACCGCGCAGTGTAGTTCTTTAGCCTCGATACATAAACTTTAGTCAGATCAATAAGTATCGGGATTTTTTTAAGTCAACAAACGTTGTAAAAACCTACTTTCTACAAATGTTGATGTTTCGAAGCTTGGTTAGGAAATAAGGTGTGGGGATCGCACGCCGTGCCACATGTTGACTGGAGAAGAGTTAATCGATATACACGTATCGTCAAACCATTTGACAAATCTCGTACAGCTTCAGTGTTTCCGTATAACTTGCGATACTTCTATGAGTAAAACTCTCAATTTTAACAGAAGTGGTACATTTTCAATACCGATCTAACATGCCCAATGTGTTGGTACAGTTCAAGTGAGGGTAAGTTTGTTGACATTGCATAAAAAAACGACGTTCACATAGTGAACACACTGGGTAAGGATGTGATATTTTTCACCGGATAACAACCACCGTTGTGATCCTTATCAGCTCATAGATCATGATTGTGATCAGGAGGAGTATGAGAAAATAGGAAACACTGTTTTAAGTATATCTCACACTTGCCTTGTCTGTTGGATGCATTCGTTGTCCTTAACTGTATTATAAATACAGTTGAATAAAAACTGAAACAGAAGCGAAACTTCAATTGATCCCGCTTGTGAAGATGAACTCTTCTCTCACACTTGCGTGCGTAACAGCAATCAGATGAACTGCACTCTATAAGACGTGTACTTTGCGGAAAGGAGCTGGTCGTCTGAAGCGGCCTGAGCTGATGTCAACCTGATGTGTGCTAGTTGATTGGGTGAGAAGCGATTGTAACCACAGGAAATCCGACAGCGACAGGGATTGGTGAATTAGTCAATCCTATCACTTGGCCTAATCTTAACCCCTTCCGGAAACTATGCTTAGACAACAATGACGTACATATCTCCTAAGGTTGAACAGCTATTTATGACCGTTCTGTATGATCTCTTCACATTAAATCTTCAGTTGCAAACATTCATTATTAAGCCTGGTTTTTAAAATGTCACCAGTCCAAGTCCCGGTCTTAATGATCTGTGTCGAGATGTAGTAGGTGATAAATAAAGTGAATACAAACAACTCCAAACTAACGGGCATAGAAACGGTGCTTCACAAATGACTCATCGATTTCCGTCCGTGCATCGGTTCGTATAGCTCGACTAGTCAGTGGGACTAGTGTTCCGTCCGATGATAATCGTGAATTTGAAAGTGGGGAGGCAGTTGCGGAAGTCTTCGACTATTTGTGAAGCTTGGCTATTTTTCGATGCGCATGACCGTGAACCGTTGAAAAATTTTTCACTTAATTTGCTTTATAACAAACTAGGGAGTGACGTTTTTGTGTGGCCTAATTAGTAAAAGATAATAACCGCCAGATGGACTCTGAATACACGTCTTTACGATGTGCACACGAAAAAGTCCATAAAAACGGCCTAACTTGAAAACGGTTTGCTTCGCCGAAGGTTTCGGTATCTTCTGGGAATAACTTTAAGGTACAGTGGTATTTCACTATGTCTGGAAGGTAACTGATTTCGGAAAGGATAAGAACTGGCTCTCATTACTTTGTTAGCACAATGTGAGTTGTATAAGTTGCATAAGTTCAAACCATCTTCCAGGTATGTTGCTATTTCAATCACACATAAATGGATCGCGTAAAATCAGTTCGAAACTTTGCAGGTTGAAACGACCATTTTATCTGGAGGAATTGACGGTGCATAGGATGAATTAAATGTCTTCAGGTTGAGTGTATTACGATTTGATTCAATTCCATAAGGGAATTTAGCATGTGTAAAGCAAGTGAACCGTGAAGTGAAGATCTACGAAGCACTGGACAGCTGTTTCGAACTGGTTGCGTTTCATCAGCAGTACGAGTCCATAAACCCAAAATCAGTCAGGTTGTGAAACCGAGTCATAACCCAGGAGGCTAGTGCTGAGATGAACGAAGAGTGAGGCCCGCAACCAGCCCGCAAAGATGGGTTGTGCTATATGGTGTAAATGGAAAACGAAAAATAGTTTGATCAGCTGCCCGAGTGGGTAGCATGCTTGGGTTCTTCTCGTGATATCCTGGGTTTGGTCCCCTGTTGGATCGACAGACTCTCGCCGCTGATGAGTCAGAACCATTTCAAATAAGTTGTACGGTGCTTCCTAGCCTTTTATTTTACGCTAAATTTCCTCTACACAAAACGTCTTCGATTATGAAATATTAAGATTCATTTTGCCATTGTTCGTTCTAATGGTAATCAGTTTCATAGGTGATTTGTTTTGTCTCAATAGGATTCTGTGACAGACGTGTTTTGCGACAGACAATCCCCCTTAAGCTTCTTCCGAATTACCACTAAAAAACACCATTTTGCTTATGCGAAGCGCTTTGTGAACGGTCGACTAGCATTCTGAAGTAAGACTTGCTTAAATGTAACGGAAACGAGAACATGCCACTTATTGACTTTGACTCAACTCATCCGACGCACCTGCAACACGAATCCTATTTCATGGGAAACATAGAATATACTGATTAGTTGCTGGGACTGCTAACCATTCACGCCGGAACAAATCAATCTATCACATTAGGCAGTCACACCTTGACCTGCCATTTCTCCCAGTCATATTGCTTCTATGAGGATGAACAGCATCGACTGGCATATTGGGCATTGATAAAACATTGTGAAGTAGGCTTTCGTCACAAAGGATGGACCGACAGAGTGAGCAACCAATCCAGAGCAAACCAGTTCGGAGAGTGGCTAAATGAACGACAGTGACTACATTAAAATCACTCCGCATTAGACACAAAAAGGTCCAAAAGAACGGAGTTCATTGCGCTAGACAGTAGGTTGAAACAAATTCAGAATGATAAGCCAATAAAATGGTACAAATTGACTGCGGATGGTTTGGTTAAAAAAATAGAATCCGTGGTTATGCACGGTTTACAAACTACTTGTATCGGTCAACGTGTTTATTGCTCATCTGGTTTTTCCGCAGATTACTCCCAAAGATGGTTAGACTTAAAAGATACTGACAAAGTTTAATATCATATATCAGCGAGTGAAACACGTTGAGCAAAAGGTTGCTTTATTACAAACCGAAAAGACTTTCAAATCATAAGGCATATAAAGCGATTTTGTTACAGTGGATGTCCGATGAATGAAACGAACGTATCTTGCGATATTCTCGCCAGTTTTTTGGTTGAGCGTAGAATAGATAAGCTGTAACTTTCGACTGTAACTAACGTCAGAAACATAGTCTCATTGATGGGCACTTTCTCTCGGCATCCAAAAACGTTTTGAATCAGAGATCTTCTTCACATCTTCATGTCCCATTATGACCAAAGTTGAGGGAATATTTTCTGTGGTTCCGTAAACCATGAGCCACCCAATGTTAATCAGTAAGGTAGATAATTTTGTAAACAACAACCAAAGCAGCTAATACCGAAGTAATTATTTCCACATTTCTCATCCATAAAGAAACAGGATTGGTTTGACAGAGTCCGATAACTCAGTAAAGCTGGTTTCCAGTTTACGTTGTAAAGCTTTCCGGGTGTACTCATGCACAGTCACTAAGTTGTCAGTGTCCAGCTCAGCCTCGCTCTTTGCTCTGGTAACCCAAACCGACGAACACATTACTGAAACTTCACATGCAAGTTAGCGGCGAGAAACTCAACAAACCTAAACAATAAGAGTTATCATCCCCAATTGAATCATCGAACATTGGTTTTCTAGAGGTACATTTTAACCGCTCGTTTTTGACTAGAATCTCTGAAACCAACGTAGAACTTAGAGCTGCACCAGCCATAAGGCCTAAAAAGATCTAAAAGTTGTTTCTTCCCGTTTCTCCGGATTCGGTTAGAGTGTAACAGAGAGTAAAAATTGTGACACGTCATCGATATGAATGGGAGACGAGAATTCGGTTCGGCAAAGGGTTATGTTGACGCCTAAGTGTAAAACTGTGCAATCGAACAAGGTTCTGTTGCGGTGCAAACCCCGGTTGACCGCGATCTTCATGAAAGTAGATTAACTTTTTATCAGTTTCTCCAATAAGTGCCAATCGAAATGGTTAAACTATTTCATATTGTCAAATATGTGGTGGCCTTTTTTGATTAGTCACCAGAGTCTTTTATGGTGGAGGTTTTAAGCATCGACACTCTTTGCCAAAATGACAGCAATTATCACTCGACATAAATGGAAAAGGTAGTCGCTGTAAAAATTGGTTAGTATCATAGCTTTGTACACTCAAAGTTACTCTCGTTTATTGCTTTGAAGCCATTCGTGTAGTAGACTAAGGTATCCCTGAGAAACGTGTGAGTCATATAGGATGCTATAAACGAACAGCCGATGAGTTTCCACCTCATTAATCTTAGATTCCAACACGTTGCTCGACATCAGAGAGTGAAACGAGACTAACGGGTCAGCTGGTGATCGGTCTGGAAAACCAGATGCGCACTGCTGTTTTTGTCAACATTCTCGAACGACCACTTGTGGTCGAGTCTCACGTGGATGTGGATGAATCACCTGCCAAACCGTGCTTTGCTACAGCTCATCCTACAAAACAGTGCCGAAAACACAGGGCAGGGACTGCTCAATCAAGTCGGGCTGGTCAACCTGTCGAGTCCGACCAGAGTGGAACAATTCATGTTGTTCACTGCATTTGTCAGTAGTAGCTGCATAGTGTTTGCCGAACTCACCATAGCGACAAATTAACTATCAGATTACTAAAACTTTTGGTGTATAGGTTTGTACAAAGCACTCATGATGACTATCACCCTACCGTTGAACAGTGAAATGATGTATATCACAGATTTGATGTTTGCTTTGGGAAACCGGTGACCTCCGAGGCCTGCAACTGGAAGAGGCAAATCACCCAGCACTTTAAGACAAGTTATTTAATAAGCAGGAGTGAAAGCGGAATTAAGATAATTTACACTATGACGGAATATGGACGAACAATCCCCCACTACTCTGTTATTGTTCAATGATGATCGATGCACTGTAAAAGTGAGAGTCCATTTGAGTCAAAGTTGCTTCTAACAACCTACAAATACCTGTGTCGTGAAAATGGGACACCACCGTTGTTGGGAGGTCGATTTGCAAACGTGCTGTAGAAAGTACCCATTCATATTCATCAATGGTTAGTCACTCTGTGCAGATTGTGTTTCCCCGCTCGATACACACCGATCGCATTGAGTGGAAGGGTTTCAAGGTCAACCAGTCTGGTTTTCCTGTTGAGGTGTATTGGTTACCTTGGGCGTTTGACCCCGTCCGAAGGGCGTATGATCCGATGAACTGGACACCGGCTCCCAATGGACTGCGGTTTTCACAGCGCCCCGCTACCTTGCGGATCGGGCTTTGGCTAGCCAAAGGCCTCGGTTATGGATTCATCAAGAAAATTCACATGCTTTGGCCTGGGCTACCTGGCAGTATTCGGCTCACATGCCAATCATGGAACGCTTTTATTTTTTTCATAAAGATTATTGTACCATCGCACACAGTCTATCCTTAGACAAGTATGAAATAGATATATATAATGTATGACAACTTGTGCATATTTAGAAGTGTACCAACTACATTGTGTTGTAAAATTTAAAAAAATTAACTCAGGCGAATAGTTCACATACCAGTGCAACAAAAAAGCACGTTGTGAAAAGAACTAATCTGGTGAAGTGCGTCAATTACGGAGCAAACGAAGGTTAACTTCAGTGTCAGTTTTCACAACCATTAACCATGCATTTTCACGCGCCGGTTTCGGTCGCTGCTGTTGAGGACAGAGTCAAAGTAAAGATAGAGAATTCATAAAGATTTGGGTTGCAAGAATAATGAATAGACACACCAGCACCATTGTTTGCGATACCCAGCCATAATGCTCAGTTTCTCTAACCACCGGTTAACACTATATCAGGCCCTGATTCGGGGAGCCCAACGGCACCTATGTGACCTAGTGTCCTAGTTAGGAGAAAGTAGTCTTATGAATTGAAAAGATGGGATTCATTGGTCATCTGTCTCCACCTGGCTGAGTCTCATCAACAGTGCAAACTCATGAACTAAAGAGAATTGAATCCTGGGCCTCATAAGTAGGGTGCTTCATCAGCTCTGTGCTGGATAAAATTAGCCCATTTTCCATTCCCATTTGGAAACTGGCTCTATAATCAACTCGGATTCTTCACCACTCTTATTGAACAAGTAGTCATTTTCCGAAAATTCACAACAGAGGCTTGGGCTCATATACGCGGGGTCTGATACCCTTATTAGGTCTGCACAAATGAGTTGTGCTATATCTTGTAAAGGCAAAACGGAAAATGGTCGAATCCGCTGCCCAATGGCCGATTGAATAGTATGCTTGTTTTCTACCTGATATCTCCCTGCTTCGATCACCAGTTGAGTAGATGAATTTGCACTGCCAACGAGGCCCAATCATAAAAAGTAGCTGTACAGTGGTTCTTAGTTTTCAGTTCGTACCTCATTTGCTCTTAACACGACTGAATTCACCATGCAACCAAATCAGATCCTCCGCTACTTTAGTACGGAACGAATTCTGACATTTTTTTTATTTGATCTAAGTTTTCTATCCCGCAAATTGAACCCTCACTTTCTCCCAGGATTTACATGACCAGTTCGCTTGTTATGCATATGCAAAAAATAGAACCGAATGTAGCGTTTTTCCTTTAAACGTGGAACACACGATTAACCGTCTAAGTTGTGTTATCTTTCTTCACACGTCACCCACTTTCATCCAATCAACCGTGTTTGACCCGCAGATGGAACAGATTTCCGTTTCAACCCATTCCGAAGGTTCCGAGTGAGTCATCAGTCATTTCCGGTGTTGCTTGATTTTCTCCCCGTTTACGATTTACGCGTGTTTCAGTTTATCTCCAGCCTATCCCTTTGCTGGTAAAAAATAACACATACTGGCAGTTCTATCAGTTCGCAAGCTCATTCTTCACATGTTCGCCAATATCTGTCGTCCAGACACAGAAGAAACCTGATCGTAGGTTCAAAATTCAGTTTCGGACTAATGGCAGATTTTTGAACGATTAAGTCACGCTGTCTGCCATCTCCGTGACCACACACACGCATGCTCGTGCAGGCTATGCTCCACCGTCATTTTCATCAGCTTGATTAACGGCCTTTGCTTTGATTGATGATTCATGCTGCGTGAATCTTAGTCAGACGGAGATAGTTCCAGCTGAGAATTTTTCTTTGAAACATTTCCCCACTTCAAGAGATCGAAACTGAATCGATAGAGTAGAAAATCTTTGTTTACTGGCCAAATCCTGGTGTTATTCTGATTGTGAGAAATGCGCCAGAAACTATTTCTGTATTAGGTATCCAGTTAAAGAGTGTTTTCCCCTGATTTCCGGTGAAGAATGATTATTAACCTCTTCATAAGGAAATAAAATGAGCAGATTCGTTTTGAAATTCAAAGCCTGTCGATGCATGGAAGAACCTGTATTATATCCCTTACAATACCGTTACCAATTGGCAGGTTAAAGGTGACAAAAATGTTTCAAAATGTGAGCTGCCTTGTACACCACCAGTAGCTCTATACAGAGCGTGTAGTATTTAATCTGAGGTTCAAAAGTTAGCTTATTGATCAATCAAAATATGACTTGCTTCGGTTCCCTCGGCAAAGAAACCGTGTTCAAGGGTTTTAGCCCTTTATATCAAGCCTCACAACTAATTTGTGAATACGCTTAAGAGGGGGGGAGCCTCCGATCGCAACATTGTAGTGTGGGGATAAATTGCAACTGATGCTTACTAACCGGGAGAGATTTTGTGTCAAACCGTGGAAGCTACTCAAAATGTGTGCAATCTCGCCCATTAAAACATATCTGCTAGTAATTCCCATTGTATTTATGAAATACTTACGCTCCAGATGGTGGTTACCCAGTGGTAACGTCACTCAGTTATCAACCCGAAGGATGTGTATTCGAATCCTACCACCGCTCGATTTTCCCCGTTATGCGTTGTATGGTATCCCTTTGATTGACCGCTTTCCACTTCCTCGAAATCGTATCATTCTATATTCAATAAAAGGAAGTGAAAATGACATACCTGATTCTTTCCCAAAATGTAATGGGATTTGTCCAAACAAAAGTTTTGTTTGCGTGCCAAAATTGGTGCATGACAATTTAGTTTTGAAATCTTTATTGGTAAACCGTGAGGCATTTGATTGAAACGATAAGTTTACACCAGATATTCCACCCGAGGAGGTAGAGAAAAATGAAGCCAATTGAAGTACGTCGTGCGTTTTTTTGTGATTTTTCAATACGTAGCTGATTCTGCAATCATCGTAGGTTACGAAGCTGTTAGTGATGTTTAAAGGTTCGAAATACAATTTGGGCTGCAAAACGTTTCACTTTACTAAGTTTCTCAAGTCGAATTAAGTTTAATGAGAGAAAGCTTTGCTTCAGTTTGTCCATGAATAACTACCGTGACCCGAGTCAACCTCTCAACATACCTCTAGCCTCTGATAATTTCCCATGGTTACTGAAATCTTTTAAGACAGTATTTATAGCTGTACAAATAATTTTACAATTTACAGTCAGGCACGCACAAGAGTGACCCATTCTTGGGGCTCTCCAACTCAGTGTGATGACTAATTTCACAGTGTAGGAACAACCACAATGTCACTGTTGATGCGTGACGCGGGAGGCTTGTGATTGACAAGTACAGCAGCAGACAGGCCAATATACTCCACAAACTACAATAGTAGTGGTCACGAGTTTCCTCTCCCGCGAGTGTTGACAAAACAAAACCTAGCATGACTGATTTGGGGGGTGTGACGACAGGACAGTACCACTGGCATCGGTCAACAGCGAACAATCTGCATTTTCAGTCAAACACTACGGACCAGCAGTGCTTTATTCCTAAAGGTTGAGATCGCACCTGTTGTGAAAAGTAATGGAATATGGAATGGGATCCGGTTTTAATTATACCTGCTATGAAATCACTGTACACGAAATCAAATGAATGGTTATTTTTCAATTTTTCACTAGAATAAACCTATAATCGATCCAAAACCTTTATCAGACTACCAAAACCCGTACCTTTCCGTATGCAGTTCGAAAACAGAACCCCCAACTGCGCGCCTCGAGCAGATCAGTCAGCGAATATTCGGTAAGTTTCCTCGCTTCCTTGCCATCATCATGCTTTTCGTTTGTTCATAAATCAATAAATCAGATGAAATAATACGCAGAAGCGTTGCCATAAACAGTGTATGTTATGGTTTTCATCCCGTCTTCGATTGATACATCTTTCATTCCTCTCAGTCGCTACTTTACCACCAAAAGAAAATGACAACTAATGACTGAGGAAAACTACACTCAGTAAATGTAAAAACTCAGAGACAAAGCGGAATAAACTCGCAAAACCGTTCTGCTTCGCTTACCTGTGAACCCAAATAGCACAGAGCAAAGTCCAACCAATGCAACCAAGAGGTGCAATTTGTCAAACTGCAGAATGTACGAACCTATGAAAGCGTGAAATGAGCAGACATCACGCAATTGAAGATAGCAATCATTCTTCGATCAAAACATGGACCACAATCTGATCAACAAAGAGTTAACAGTTTATGCAAAACACCAAAAACCAGTCACCTCGGCCAAAACAACAGGTAAATGAAGAGTTGCTGCAATATAAGAACAACACGTTGAACATGTTA